TGATACTCTGGTCCATGCAAGCAGATCCTGCAGTAGAACAAGTGGGAATAAAGAAGAACAAAAATACACCGCCACTTGATGTTGATGTAAAAAACTCCAGAAAGCAAGGGGTTTTGTTCTGCGTTGAGTCTATTGTCACTAGTTTCAACCCTGCATTGTGTGGTTCCCAGACTGTGGAAGGCACTCCCTTGAGAGGTGTTGCTTGTTTCCACCTCTCAAGGTGGACTTGTGCCGTCAAGTCAATTCAGACTTACGATACTTGTTTCCACTCTGATTTTAAATAACAACAATGTGCCGTCAAGTCAATTCAGTCTTACGGTGACTCTTTTCAGGGTTTCCTACACGGAGAATACTCATTAGGGGTCTACTATTCCTTCCTCTGGGTGCACCCTCTGACTGTGCAGCTTGCCCAAGGCCACACAGGATGGCTCCACTCACAGGAGGCACAGTGGGGTTTCATCACTTCACTAAGGAGTACACAAATTTCATCCCATTTGAGGGAATAGGTTGTCTCAACATGTTGAGGAACCCCATAAAAAATAAAGAGCAACCACTGCAAGGTAGTTCTCTCAAATGAGAGCAAGAACATTTGCAAACAATGAGAGTTTTGCATGGCATGCTTGTATTCCATCTTAAAACCTTTACTTATGGCACAAAGTATGAGCTTTTTGTTCTTGTGCACAAACACTTTGTAGACGTTTCTCCAAAAAGTGCCAAAATGCAAAAAGTGCACAACGAGTGGAAAAAAAGTCGTAATGTTTCATGCAAAAAGTGCCAAAATGCAAAAAGTGCACGAGTGGAAAAAAAGTCGTAATGTTTCATTCTTCCCTCGGATAATAATTTAAGTGAAGATTTACATCTCTGTCCATCACCACTGCCAGAGCTGATTAAGGCTAATGGCAATCACTCTCTAGCAAAATCAGAAGGGCTACGTTTTCCCCACCCCTACTTTAACATAAGCAAGGCAAAGTCTAAATATAAAGATGAAACTGTAAACATCAACAGGAGATGAGCTTCCAAGCTGAACTGAATGGATTTACCTCCTTTGTTATGCCTCTCTTTCTCATATCCTAGGACTAAACTCTATGCACCAATTGCATTTTGGTTCCAAGCATTTTCCACTTTCTACATGAGTATTTATGTTCTTTACATTAACCAGGCTGGAAAGAGCCATATGTTCCTGAGGCCATAAGAAGTATGTTTTCAATTATTCCACATGTTTGTCATCCAAGAATAATTATGGCACATTAAAAAAAAGCAGTCCTCGTACAACTCTACAATAGAAATAAACAAGTACATATTCAAGGGCCACTTTGAGAACTGTGTTGGTTGGGTGAGTGTTGATTAACAAAAGAACATCCTGTCTAGTTTTGCTGGTAATTCTGTACCAAATGTACCAAAAAGCTAGTATTTCATTGTAGGCTACTCCACATCCCTAATTTTTACTGTCAAGTTTTAGAATTATGTGTTTGGCAGATATACAAAACAGTCTTTCAGTTTTCCAGAGAGGTTTCTGAGGCTGACCTGACTCTCCTGTAGAAAGAGTTTTTATTCTGTTCAGGTAGTTATTATTTGGGCAGAATATGGGATAAAGACTCTAAGGGTGTGCCCAATATGTGATGTAATGGGCAGAGCTTGGGAACGCCTGTGACCATGCTGGCTGGGAGATTCTAGGAGCTGTAGACCAAGAAAGCAATTTCCCTAAACTTTGTTCCTGGCTAGGCTGTTAAGCTACAGCTGGAGAGATCCAGGTTCAAATTGTCACTTGGTCAGGTGGTAGTTCACAGGGCCAAAGGAAAAAAGGGCCGAAAAATAACTCTAGTTAAATCTGAAAACATATTATCTGAAGCAACGTGAATGAGGCTGCCTTTCATATTTTGGAAATCAAACTTCAAAGGAATTCTGTTTTTGACTCCTGAAGACCAATTACAAAACAAACTATTCTGTATGCTGAGGGAGGTAAGAGATGCCCCTGTTGTGATTTTGTTTTTTAAATTATTTTTAAATTTCCAAAACAAAAACAAATACAAGAATACAAAATACTCACGATTACAATCTAAACCCCAGTGCACCTCCATACCCACAGAACCCTTTGGAGCAATACTTTTAATACGAACCTCTTTTCCAAAATTGTATTGATTGTTATTTAAAGGCTTCCCCCTTTCCTTTCACTGATACAAATTCAATAGATCTATCCCAAATAGCATTAAAAAGATTTGAACTTATTTCCCCTCTTTTCATCTTCAGTTCAGTAGTCAATTTATCATTTAACACAATGTCCCATACTTCATTATACCAGTCTTCTAATTTAATATCATTTTTATCTTTCCAGAATCTGGCTATTAATATTCTAGCACTTGTCATAAAATTGGAAATCAATTCCTTTGAGCAATAATCAAGTTCTATCTTATCAAAAATTGACAACAAAGCAATTTTAGAATTAAGTTCGATATCTTTTCCAAATATATCACATATTTCCTTAAAAATTAGTTTCCAAAATTTCTGAATCCATTTAAAACTCCCACCACATATGATAATACTTGCCAATTTCTTCATCACATGTCCAACAGGCCTTAGAATAGTCTGAATTTATTATATTCAATTTCACTGGAGTCATGTACCACCTTAAACTATTTTTTTAAAAAAATTCCTTTATCCTTACCGACATTAATCTTAAAACTCTCATCTTCCAAATTTTTGTCCAATCCTCTGTTTTAATTTCTGTCTTTAAATCATGTTCCCAAATTGATTTCAAACCTATTTCTGTCTCTTTTTCTTCTTGTTCCAAAATTAGGTTATAAATTCTACTTACTACTCCTTTTCTCAAAGCATCTTTCTGCATGTCTTCGTGTGATGATAGCAATTGTTCGTACTTAGTACATGCTCTACATTTGCCATTAGTTTTCAACCATTCATTTGTCCAAGTATCTAACTGGATATAATTATACCATGATAGTTGATTAGTTTGAAGTTTAACTATAATCCGATCCTTCAATCTCATTTTAGTCACCCAATCCTTCAATCTGGTAACTTTTTTATCTTTAAATCAGCTAAACCCTTCAGGTTTGCTGGGAAATTTTCTGTTTCGGTCACTAATTTTAGTGGTGAAGTAAAGGGACATTTCTGTTCCAGATATTTAACATGTTTCTTAAAGAAGGGTTGTTCACCTGATTTATTATATTTCTTTTTACTACATTGAACAAATATTTTTTGATATTCCCATTTATTTCTGAGGATTCCATAACCCACCAAATTAACCTTTCTTTATTGTATATAATATCTCCAGTAAATCTCCCTGTTTCACACACAATTCATTTATAAAGATTTTTCTTTACTGGTGATGAGCTGTCTGCACTGCAGTGTATCAGGTTTCTGCCTTGTGTTATAAGATCTTGTTTTCGTAATGAAGAAATATACCATAAAGTACAACCATACATTCTACCTAAAAATTCTGTGGGAGGTTCTAAAGGCATTTGGAAATGAAAAGTGTAAAAGGGAGTGAATCAGGTAGGAAGAATGGAGGTGACTGTCAAAGTAGTAGAATCTAGACTCTTGATTCTACCATCTTGATAATGATTCTCATTTTTTTCCATGTGGTTAAAGAGGAAGGCAGTGCCTGGATACTTTGCCTGATCTAGAAAGTCAATCCGACACCTTTTGTAAACTAGAGTGCCTAAGGTTATATGGGCCAAAAAAAGATACCAGATTTTTTGGGAATTGTCTTTATTTGTTTTTATTAATGAGAAGAAGCAAAGTAACAGTGGCAAACAATAATTAACTCCTTCCATGTGTACAACTATTGTGGTAATGAATAAAAATGTAGGTAATATTAGATGTAACACAAAATTATAGAAGAATAACATACTTGGCACAAAGTATTATATGTACTCATCACCAGTAAATAAAACATAAAAAGAAACACATAAGGCATGAGCTGAAATCCTATTGTGTAGTTACACAAATGACTTAACTTTTGGAAGTGAATTGCGTGACTAGGCATGCAACAGGTAATGTCTACAGATATTTCTTGATTTATGAAAATTCACTCAAAAAGGCATATTATAATAAAATAATATTAAAGAACTGAGTGTGGGATCTCCTTGATCCACTCTGTACCCAAATACTGTAAAAGTTATGCAAAAACAAGATGGAAGAAGAAATTTAAATGTCTATTATCTTGTGTGACTAATCCACTCAAAACCAATACAACAAGCATCCTTCCACAATCACACATAGACAGTCAGTCTTAACGGTATAATATTTTGGTCAATGTAATAGACCAAGATGAGTGAGAGAACAAAGAAAAAGAAGAGTTTTCCAGAATGCACAAAAGGCCATCTAACAGTGCTACAAGTGTTCCTCTACACCCCTCAGTTCCACAAAATGGCTGGCAGAGAGGCTGCAAAGAAATACATAGTGTATATACTGTACTGCACTGTGACCTCCACCTGAACCCTCCCAAGTGCTGCAGTGGTCCAAGCATCCAGTGGTTGTCACTCTTCTTTTGGCATCAACATCTCAATCTACTGTTACTTTTGATTTCCCCTTTCTACAATTCAAATCAATGATAATTTTTTTTAATACTGTCAAAGCTAAGTGGAATTCAAAGGATCCATGATGGTGTTGCTCTGCCTTCGAGTGAACAGCTGCTCCTTGTTCTGTCTTATAGTCACTACAAAACTGCACAAATAATTTTTGAAAAATCTGCTCCCATTTCCTCTCAACTGATCACACAGTTGCCTGATTTCTCAATTAGCATGATACATCTATGGTAAATGATTTGTTTTATGAGTTGTGCTGGGTTAATACAATTGTGTTAAGTTGTTAATACAATTGTGCATATATGTTTTTTCATAGCTTTTCATCTTTCCCCCAATATGAAGAATGATCCTTGCATGTAACAATGAAGTTGTATTTGAATCCCACTAATATGAGCAAACACAAACTGAGAAGCTAATATACTGTCATCATGAGCAGGAGTTCTATTGTGCAAGGCGGTTGTTCAAGCCACAATATATGGCAATATTTTGATTTGAGAAAGATTTTCTGTTTGCAGATTTAACTTCATTCTGCTTCTCATGAGCCCATTCCATGGAGATGGGTAGGGAAAAGGACTGATTCATCCCATGCCACCAGACATTTAAGTATTTGTATTGTTTCCCTTTTGCTTAAGTCATTGTATCAGCCACTAGTTGCTTCTGGGGATAGATATTGGCCCCAAATAGTTGAATACTTGCAAATGCTGAGATAGTTTATCCAATGGACAATGATTTAGGGAAAGTCCAGCAGCACCACCCTTATCCCACAGGAAGGTTGCTTCAGTAATACATAACCTAGAAGGTCACATACAGACTCACATTAATGAATTAATGATTGACTTCATCTCCTGTAACCGGTGGAAATTCGGCAGCGAGACAGTGCTGTTGGGTGGTGACTCTTCAACAAAGATGGGCCCACCCAAGTGGCGGCGGGTGACTAACTCTTCTCTTGGGTTCCTTCACAGCCTACACACAGACAGAAAAGAAGGAGAGTTAGCAGCACCAAAGAATCTTGCTTCTAAATGGAACAAAACAATAAGAGAAAACATAATGAGGTCAGGTAGAGTTTCCAAGCTTGAAACCAGCTTGAGCCAGTTGATAAGGTATTGAGTCGAGACCAGAGTCCTCTTCGGATCTCACAGACCACCTAGATGGTGGGAATGTTTGGTAAGGTGGTATTTACATTCTTCCCCACATTTCTGCAAAAAAAGATAGTCCTTTAAACATTCAGCCCTTTGAAAATCTGTCCTCCTGTCTCTTTTATGTACGAATAGCTGCCATACTAATTCTGCAGGACTTGGATCTAATGGTTATGGTGGTGATACCTCTCCTAAAACACCAGCAACTGTGCAAATTCTAATCTCTCTCTCTCTCTTTTTGAAAGCATGTTTCCTATATCATCCCCTATGGTGATCCTAGAGTGGTAGAGTCTACCAGATGGGTGGGACATAAATCAAATCAAATCAAATCAAATCAAATCAAATCAAATAAATAAATAAATAAATAAATAAATAAATAAATCGCTTTTGTGGAAAATCGCCTCATGTGATGTACTCATATACTGTGCGGTCTCATAAGCTTAAATAGGTTTTTCAAACACCCTTTTAACATAGTTATTTCAAGTTAGGTTTAGACTGAGTGTTGGCTGGACCATTGAGACAAATCATGTTTTGGCAGAATGCAAACTACACTGGGCCTCTAGCCCATAGCTGATGTAGGAAAAATTAGATGCCAAGAGAAAAAAAAACAAGTTTATTTCAGAGCCAACTGCCTTGAATAATATAGAGTACTTAACATATTTGATGGTTGCCACTACTCTCCCCTCTGTGGTGCCTAAAAATTAAGCAATATAACTGCCCCCATATAATGTATCACTTGAAATCCTGTTCCTTAGCTTAGTAGGCTGTGCTGGAGTAGGCCCATTGAATCAGTGAGGATTTGGTGAGTCAACCTCTTTGTAAGTTCTATTGATTCAAATGGGCTACTGTGCCATTTTGTACTCTGCATTAGAGATGGGCACAAAGTAATTCATGCCCCTTCATCAGAAGTCACATGCTGCCGTGTGTTCCCTTCCCCCTCCTACCCTGCCAGTTCATCCACTGACCTGCTGGTATGCACCGCTCTTTCTCTTCTCCATCTCCTACAGCAGGAGGGGTGGGTGGGTTCCCAGTCATGAGTCAAGTCTGAATCATTGGAAACCACCCACCCCCCAAGTTCAGTCCAAGTTGAATTGTCGGTGCGACTTAAGTCCAATTTGACAGTGAGTCTTGTGATTCCAGTTCCCATGCCTGCTGACTGTACCCTGTAAATTAGTCCCTTGCCCTCAGGTACAATACAAAATACTGTCCCATCAACAATACTCATATATTTTTATTGCCATTTTTGGCTTGCTTCTATATCTGGAATGGGAGCAGAATGCATTTTCATCCTTTGTTTCAGGCAGCAAAATATCTTGGCATGATCTGGTGCATAGACCCTAACTATTGGTAATAAAAAGCCTTGCAACAAACAACAGTGTTTATAATATGCTGAAAATCAAACATAATCTAAAAGTTGCAGTACACTGAAAAATATTTATCATTGCCCTGATGTGCTGAGCTCTCAGTAAGCTGCCTGAGTCCAGGTATGAGGAGAAAGGCAAAATATAACTCAAAGAAATAAATAAACATGAACTTATTTGTTCCCTCATTATTATTATTAATATAGATTTGTTTTCCTACCCCCAGCTCAAAAGATCTGGAGTTTTTGGCACTTTGAAAATGAGACACCAAAACGGGTTTAAAAATATTTATGAAGACTTGGAAACAAAGATGGCAAAGCATCTTGTCCCAGCAAGCTCTGCTTGTTTCTTTATTTACAGAAGGAAGACAATAAAATTTCATTGTATATCTCGCACAATTGGAAAGATCACATGCAAACAACCAATAATACAACAAGCTATAACTTGTTCAGGTTTGGTGAAGTTTTTTGTGTCCTAAAAGGCATCTGCTTTGGAACATCTTGGAGTGTGACCTAAATGCTGTGCAAGCTGGGGATTCCCTTGCAGGGCCCCATATTGTCTAGATTCGTGGAAATCATGCTGAAACAAAGTGAAAACAAACTGGAATGCTGTAATGTTTTCACATCTGTCTCTTTTGTCAGGACAAAACTAATTATTCCAAAGAAGGTTGCTTCTCCCCTCTTCCACATGTCTTTTGTACTATTTTTGTACATGTTGCTGTTTAATGTTTCATTTTAACTATCATTGTCTGTATAGCTTGTCTTTCTTGGTCCACTCCTTTTTTTCAAAAAGTCTGGATTTGTTAACCCATTACAAAACAACTTGCCTGCTTTTCTTCTGGCCATTTACACATTATCAGCATGAAAGAAATGCATCACATACACACAAAGAGATACACACACAAAGAAAATTCTATTCAGTTATTTAAAATGCATAGAATACTGGCTGGATAGCTCAGTGGGTTGAGTATTTGGTTGTGGAGCTAAAGACTGGGAATCTGACTTCCCAATGTATCTCCAGGGAGAAGAGCCAGCCTGCTTAGCCTAGGATAAGCTGCACAGAGCCAGAGATCCACTAGAAGAAGGGAATAATAAATATGTAGTTTCCGAATGCACTGTATCTAGAAACAGTGGAAAGGTTTGTCATAAGTTGGAATTGACAGCACACAATCATTATTTTTATGTAGAATTCCCATGCGTAGAGGAGAGCACACTAACTCTGCTGCTCTCCATTGCTGGTTTTACTCTCCTCCCACTCATGGAAGGTGATAAAAAGGGAGAATTCTTCTATCCATGTGAGTTGGGACTATGCTTTTTTCACATGAGCTTTCCATGTGAGTCTGGATCCTGATTTTTCAAGGTTCTGACTGAGGCGGAGAGCCCCTAAGGGGTAGCAGGAGCTCCTTCTCCTCATAGTCATCAGCCTCTCCATATAAGAGGTGGCAGACATTATGACAGAGGGGATGCTGCTCGTACATGTTCACCATATCTTCAAATAACTGAAGATAAATGAGGTTATATATTTATATAACAATACATTTGTATATTTTTAAAGTTCTCAGTCCTGCCAAATTTTTATTGGAGAAATTTGATTTTAAAAAGGTGTTTTTTTCTAGGAATGTGGTTATTCTTTTTAGTTAGAAAAAACAGCAACAGAAATGTGGAAGATTACCCCAGTCTCATCAACAAGCTATCATTTGTATGATAAAAATCACTCTAGAAACATTTAAAGTACAAAAAAGGTATCTTTACTCACAGTAACCATATGTAGTTACAGTCCGAAGAAAAAGGGTAAAAATGGAGTCTCCAGCATGCGTAAGATCCTGCCTGGTTTTGCTTGGAGGACGGTCAGCGGAAGAAGAGAGAGCTATCAATAAAACAATGGAAGCAAAAGCAAACAGAAGGAGGGAGTGGGGGGCTTGCCACTAATGATACAGGTGGGAAAAGAACTTTACAAATTAAGTTAGTGCAAAGGACAATCACTTTAGGTTGTAAAGCCCCAAAGCCACTGATACCCAGTGTTACTGCCTGTAAGATTGCTATTATCTCAGCATTTTTTGGATTAAGTCCAAGGTTAAACTTTGATGTTAGGAAAGACACAATTAGCTTTTTATCCCTCAATACAACATTCCTCAGAGGCAAGTCTTCCTCAATCAAGCTTCCAAGTGATGTCCATATTTACCTGCCAACATCCAATCACAAAACAAAGCATGGCAGAATGCAACATACGCAAGTAAAGGAAAGCAGATACTGTACTATAATAAACAGATGTATTTTGGCTCCTAAGGAAGCACCATTTGTAATGAGAAACAACATCTAGTTGATCCACTGACTCCCACAGTCTTTCATGGATGGAAGGATTCTTTCAATCAGCAAGAGCTTGGACAGTGCCTCCATCCAGTTTTCTGGGATTACACCCATTTCTCACATCCCAGCCTACTGTAGTCATCAGGGTCCTCCAACAATCTCCACAAATGGGAGGCGAACTGAGCCGCCCAGAGTGGTAGAATATACCAGATGGGCGGGATATAAATCAAATAAATAAATTAATTAAATAAAGTAAAATAAACCAGCTGCTCTGGTGGTAGTGAGACAGATTAGTGATGTCTGTTTCTACTAGTTCACTTGCATGTAATTACCATATTTTCCCATTTATAAGACGACCCAATGTATAAGACGACCACCGCTTTTCTAACCCCCAAATTAGAAAATTTGATCCCTGCAGGGCTTAGGAAGTAGATAAAGCAGCAGTGAAAGGGCTGCACGATTGCAGTCCTTTGATCTTGAAGCCCTTTCATGGCTGCTTCAGGATCAAAGGTCTGTGATTATGCAGCCCTTTCATGGCTGCTTTACCGGAAAAGAGTCTTCCCTTCCTTTTTGCTAAGCCCTGTGGCTTCGCAAAAGGTAAGGAAAGCGGCTGCCTTCTGGGTATAAAGTGACCCTCAATTTTTTGTCTGATTATTTAAGGGGAAAGTGTTGATTTTACACAGAAAATTACGGTATACATTGGATTCAGTTCTTTTCCAGAGATGGTTGTCTAGCTAGGTCATTCCTGACTTTCAGAAGAAGAGTCAACACAGTTGTTTTTAGGAATGCATTTTGTTCTGTTAGAATTTGTGGGGTTGAAACCTGAAATAGTTTTGTTTCATTTCTGTGTTGCTAAGGTGCTGTTTTTCCTTCTTCTCCTACTAACGGATCTTATTATAAATTGCTGGTGAGTTACAGTATGTTTATTGTAACACCACTTTAAAGGCTGATACACTTGGGAAACTTTGTCAGGAAAAGGATCTAAATTCTAAAAATAAAACAATAAAAAATAATTTTAAAATGAGCACCCTCATTCTACAGATACAGATGTAAACTGTGATGTTGCATTAGTACAGTAATAAGATCCAACCAATGTCACAAGTGCGTATGTTTTCAGATTACAGTGTACAGTTGCCAGATTACATCATGGCTTTTAAAACTAACAATGTTCTACTAGCAATGACTATGTTTCATTTCAACTTTTGCCCTTTATAAAGAAACCACGTCATCATAAGGTCATATTTCATCCTGTTGCATTAGTTCAAATATGTCTTCTAGGATCAGCAATAAATTTTTATAGAATAACTTGTCAGAATGTTGAGTTTTCCAGAACTTTCTTTTTTTAAAGCACTTGCAATTTATTTATTTCTTTTTAGAATAATAATGAATAAATGAATAAAATGAAAATTATCCCACATATAGCAGAACATTATAGCACAGTATTTTCTGCATTATCTGATATAAATATACCTCTTTTCCACACAGTGCTCCGGGTCTACTTTGTACATTGAACAGCACAATTACTGTTCCAGTAAACAAAATCCTTTCTGTCTTTAATGGACACCAGACTAGGTACAGAGATATGACCTTACAGAACCATCTGTGTTAGTGAGAAGTCTTGTGCAATTAGTGATGATAATTGTCTTTTCAGAATTAATTGCATTCTTTAAAATTAAAGAATACAGCAGTGTTCATATATTCAGGGTGTTTGGCAATATATTTTATTATTAGAATGTTCAGATTCAAGCTAGTCTACATTCGTGCATCAGCCTCTATTTTAGGCTTCTTGGGTTTTAACCAACCAAAATGACACTCCATTGTTGTGGGATCATAACATTCCCCGCTGCAGCAGGCTGTTCCATGTTCCAGAAGTAACTATGCAAGTAATCTGGCAAGTGTCTGCTCCATGTGAAATTATGCCCAATTTTTTATTGGCATAATATTCTTAAGTAATTTTGTTAAAAAATCTGTCCAGCATGAAATTTGGCTCAGATCTTGTGTCTGCACTGCAGGCTCACCACTTTTCAAAGATGGTAAAATTATAAGGGCTATTTGAATTAACAGAATTTTTGGACGAGTTGATTCACTAAATCCTCATAAACAGGCCTCCTCTAGTGCAATTTACTATGCTAGGCAACAGGATTTTGACCAATATTTTAAATTAGGAATTTCAAGACCACAATTCTTGTGTTGTTGCAGCAAGCTGAAAGAAGGATTCTACTGTAGTTTGTTTTAAATTTATTTATAAATTATAGAAATTAATTTGTGCCTTTGAAGTCATTGGGAAATCAGGATGTTGACAGGAATAGTATTGAATAAATACAAAAATTAGAACTCTGGCATGGAGGTGAGGAGGCTGCTCTGCCTCCTGTCAGTTTGAAGGCTCCTGGTCATATAATTTTGGCTGGTGTGTGTGTGTATTGTGCTTAATTATGGGACCGGGAGTCCTTGTATTCTGAATATCCCATTCCTACTATCAAAACCATCCTGAGGCTGTGTCAAGATGTTAATTGTTTGCAGGGATCACAAAGGAAAAACTCAAAGTGGGACAGTTATATCAGGCAGCAGATTTTGAGTGCTATGATGTGTTCTCATGTGTTCTGTTTTACGAAGGCTAGCTCTTCACTTGAAAGGTTGCCAGAGAATAATTCTTATTTTGAAGGTGTCTTCCATTCCAAGTGAAATTTAAAGATAAAGAACCCTAAGGAGATAAGAGGCCTTAATGGGTATGATCAGATGGGCATTTGTCCTGCTGTGTCTGGTCTCCTGTGGGGAATGAAGGTACTTTCTTTTGATTATTTTTTGTCAGTTGTATGGTTTGTCAAGATAGATAGATAGATAGATAGATAGATAGATAGATAGATAGATAGATAGATAGATAGATAGATAGATAGATAGATAGATAGATAGATAGATAGATAGATAGATAGATAGATGCTAGTTCATTACTTCTGCTGTTAATCAGATGACATAATTGCTAAAACAAGCAAGCTTGTCCCCAATGTGTTCCTACCTGCAGTTTTTGGGTTCCTCCCAGAGACTAGTGCTTTTTGTTTGTTTGTTTTTGGTGCAGGATCACTGAGATAGCTGGGATTCAACCAAAGCAGAACTTGTAGCTTTAAATTTCCCTCCCACTTTCAATTTCTTTATATTGCTAAATGGCATAAGAAGACAGCTTAGCCACTTCACGATATCGGGAAGTTAACACTTCCTCTGTTCTTTTGTGGAGGGGCAGAGGAATGAATCAAAAGGTCTTTTTTTTAAAAAATCTATTAGGACAGTGCTGGTACACTATGCCACTGGAAAGAGTACGAGAAAAGGAGGGGGCAAGCAGGGTTATTTTGTTTTCTTTTTGTTATTTTTTAAAGGGAAGTGGGCCACAGGGTCCCATATATGCCATTTGGAGGCAAGGATCACACCAAACGGCGTGCCAGACCTTTACTTGACCTAAGTAGCCTGCTCTAGCCTTCCTCCAATTGAGCTGTGTAGACAAGCCCTAACTTGCCCATCCACAGAGAACATCTGGATAGCATATTCAGGAGGCATGCAAGTGACTGATTTCCTCCCTCAACCAAGATGCGTTGCAATTCTGTTTAGATTATAAAAATAATTTTTAATTTTGAATCTGCACATACAATATAAATTTAGTGTATACAGTTTCTTGCAACTCAGTGTCCTCTTTTAGATCTATTTTAGAGATGCCTTTTCTTTTTGGTGACTTGTGAAGTACCTCACCTCTACAGTATATGATTCCTCAGTTCCTCTTATTGACCGGGCCTGTCTGAATTTTCCAGAAGGGTTGTCATTCTTGCAACAAACCCAACAAAGTCTGTGGTGGCATCCTAAAGACAAAAGAAAAATAAATAAAAAAATATAAAAATAATTTTTAAAAGCACATCTTGACAAAATTAGAGAAAAAAAGGGGGGGAACCACAGGGCAACATTGTGGCAGTTAAAATACAGTATAACAGATTTCAGTGTGAGATTTTGTGGATCAAAAATGCTGTGTCCTCCGTACTTACCCTTACCAACGTGAAGGATCAGGAGTTGACCAGGTGTGGGTACAGAAAATAGACAAAATCACAATGCGTTAGTGATGCAGGAATGAGATTTCCGATATGTTAATTATTTAAACCTGCAGGTCATAGCCAGGACCATAAACTACCTATATAACAGCTCAAGTGGGTTCTCCTAGAAATGCTGAAGAGTTGTTGCTGGGATCAGAGTATGTCAAGAGAGCCAACTACTTTATACCCACGAGGTATCACAGACACGTGGTTTATTAATGTATGGATCCCAAGAAGTCTTGACCTTTATTTAGGCCTTTATGGAGATGCACTTCGTTTATATGCCTGATTCCTGGGCCTCCCTCCCTCTCTGAGAGTCTCCTTTTCTACAACAGCCATGTGTGTGGGAGCCGTAAGAGCGTCCTGGCAGGCCGACATGCTCTGCCAGGGGTGCCTCTGCGTCGCCATTCCTGAGGTCCCGGTTGTGCCCATTCTTTCTTTGGCGCAGAGGCTTTGGGGCATGCCCTCTGCCAAGAGCGTCGCTTGGCCCATGCTGCACAGGACAAGCGGGCTCATCCCTTAGGCAAACCCTGGCAGAGGCAGGGGGACCAAGCGCGTTGCCCACCACAAGGTGAGGCCGCGGCTGTGTTGTGCAGAGGCTGGGCAGGGGAGGGTTACACCGAGGGATGTACTATAAAGGAGGAGGAGGAGGAGGAAACTTTGCTTCTCCATCCTTGCCAGTTTCCAGGAGCAAGTTAACTCCCTCCCACTAGTTATCCTGGACAGCCGGCAGAGAACCAACTCGGCTCCGAGAGAGGCGCGAATCGCCAGGGAGAGGGGAGCCGGGAAGGGGGGGGGGAGGCCGGCAGGCACGGAAGAGGGACGAGGAGGGCGTAACAAACAAATAAGGATTGGCGCTGATCGGTGGGGGCACAGTTGCCAGTCAAAGGCGGCGGCGGCGGCCCTTTCCTCTCCCAGGCTTGTGGATTGGGCGGCAGAGTTTCCAGCTAGGGGGACACCCTTGCGAACCCGGCCGAAAGGACCGGCTGGCTCCGGCGAAAGGGGGCTGCGAGCCGCCCGCGAGGAGTTGCGCAGCTCCATAAACCAGCCTGCGGGAGGCGGCCGATCGGGCAGAGCGGGGCGCCCCGAGAGCAGGAGGCGAACCTTCCTTCGTGGTCCACCCTCCGCCCGCCATCGGTCTTTTAGTCTCTTTGCAAAAGGACATTCTCGCTCGGCCACTGCCCGCCAGGAGCCGTCGGAGGGCGATTCTGGGGGGCCGAGGGGAAAGCCGTCGGGAGGCGAGGCTGGGGGGCCGAGGCCGAGGCCGAGGCAGCGCCAGCCGGCGAGGGGTTGGAGCGCT